GTTTGGGGTTTAGGGTTTAGGGTTTAGGGTTTGGGCGTGCTGCAGGGCTTCCCTTGACGCAAATCCAAATGCAAAGCTGGTAAGAAAACACAGCGACGCCGCTCTAAACCCTAAACCCTAATCCCTAAACCCTAATCCCTAAACCCTAATCCCTAAACCCTAAACCCTAATCCCTAAACCCTAATCTCCCTAAACCCTAAACCTTCAGCTTGAGACGCTTCCACGGGGTTTAGGGGCAGCGTATTATGCCCTGCACGCTTACCACGCCGAACCACTCTTGCTTAGGGTTTAGGGTTTAGGGTTTAGGGTTTAGGGTTTAGGGTTTAGGGTTTAGGGTTTCGTTTTGTGTACAGTTTGTAGTAATGGTGGCGACGCCTCTCGTGATGAACTCTCTTCAATACTGGCTGACGGACAGCTTTATAAAAAGAAGAAACCCCCCCAAGTAAATGCAAACCCTAAACCCTAAACCCTAAACCCTAAACCCCTAACCCTAAACCCTGATGGCTGGCAGAGAAGCGCAGGCCCTAAACCCTAGCCAGGTCTTCACGGCAGCGGCGTAAACCCTAGCTTTGCTGTGGAGGCTCAGCCCCCCTCAGACCCACCCCCAACCCTAAACCCTAAACCCTAAACCCTAAACCCTAAACCCTAAACCCTAGATTTGGCTGTGGGACGTGCTGCAGCCGAGAGATACCCATTTATGACGTTGTGCAAACAGCAGGGGATATTCCCAGCAGCAGCAGCCGCCGCGAATAATGAAGTGTGCCCAATACAGCAGCAGCAGCAGCAGCAGCAGCTGCTGCTGCTGCTGCTGCAGCAGCAGCAGTAGCAGCAACAGCAGCTGCAGCAGCAGCAACGGCAGCTGCAGCAGCAGCAGCTGCATCAACAGCAACAGCAGCAGCAGCAGCTGCAGCAGAAGCACCTGCAGCAGCTGCAGCAGCAGCAGCTGCAGCAACAGCAGCAGCAGCAGCAGCTGCTGCTGCAGCAGCAGCAGCAGCAGCTGCTGCTGCAGCAGCAGCAGCAGCAGCAGAAATGATAGGAAACCAAGTGCTTTCGAAACCTCAGGCGTGGTTTGTGCTCATGGCTGAGGTGTACGTACACCCCAAGCAGGTCAAATGAAAACAGAAGTGAAATGAAACATTTATTTAATTATCTTTTTATTCACATTTATTTATTTATTTATTTATTTATTTATTTATTTATTTGTTCACATTTATTTATTCATTTATTTATTTATCTTTTTATGCGGTGTTCGCTATTCATTCTTTTACCCCGCTTCTTCTGCTTCGAATTCATGCAAGTCCAGTTTAGGTTTTAGGGTTTAGGGTTTAGGGTTTAGGGTTTAGTTGGGAGGCAAACGGGAAATTAGGGTTTTGTTTTGTCGACTAGAAGCGGAATTTGTTCATCTTTTGCAAAACAAAAGAAATGAACTTTTAATATTTTTGCAAATTGAAAAATTCAAGTTTTTGCATGCATTCATGCATACACCCGGGAAGCCGGAAAGCTGAACATCGGGGGAAAGCGGAGGCGAATCGAATTTGAATTTGCCTTTTTTTAAATTAATTTTATTTATTTAAATCACTTTTATTTATTTGAATTCCTTTTATTTATTCAAATTGCTTTCACTCGTTCAAATCAATTCAAAATATCCTCCAGCTTTCCAGTTTCCGGCGAAGTCCGCTGCTCGCTGCAGTTCAAGTTCCGGAAAGCGGGATTTCTGGAGGCGCGGGCCGCGCAAAGAGCTCCGGGAAAAGCGCAGAAGTTGTTTTCATTTATTTAAATATTTTAAATTAAAATAAAACGGAATTTGAAAGCAAAACGCGGCCTCGAGGCGGCTGCGCTGGGGTGTCTGTACACCTCGGCGGCGGCGACCGCCGGGCGCCGCGCCGCGACTTCCCGCGGTGGAAAGCGGCACTAAAAACGCGAAATTTCGGGAACTTCTCCTGAAATGGAGAAGTATATTTAAAAGCAAAGTTGGAAAAGAAAAAAAAGTCCATTTGCGCGGCTTTTCGACGGCGTATCGCTCGCGGGCGTGTAGGCGGCGGCGGAAGCATCGTTTCGCGCTGCTGCTGCTGCTGCTGCTGCTGCTGCTCTTCTTTCAGCATTTCTTTTCTTTTATTTCTTCATTTGGTGTTGTATTTATTCATTTTCATTTCACTTTTACTTCCCTTTTTCTTTTTCTTCTTTCGCCGCCATGCAGCCGCAGATCGCAGGTACGTTTGCTGCAGCCGACTAGCCGTTGCTGCTGCTCCTCTTTTCCGGTTTTTTTAATTCCGCCAGTTTTATTTCTTTTAATTTCCTTTTAACCTCCCTTTTAGCTTCTAACAGCTCCTCTAAACCCTAATTTAGGGTTTCCGCGCGGAGGCCTCGCGCGGCTGCTGCTCCTCGAGGCTTCTGCTGCTGCTTGGCTCACTAGCTGGCTCGAGTTGCTGCCAACAGCAGCAGCAGAAGCAGCAGCCGCATTAGCAGCAGCAGCAGCAGCACTGAAGCGTCCCTGCTGCTGCTGCTGCTGCTGCTGCTGCTGCTGCTTTTTGTGATCTCTTTTGCTTCTTTGCTGCTCTCTCTGCTGCTGCAGGCACTTCCGCCTACAGCAGCAGCAGCAGCAGCAGCAGCTGGGGGAGCTGCAGCAGCACGGGCCCTGTGTTTTGGTCTTACTCCTACGGCAGCAGCAGCACGGCTCCTGCTGCAGCAGCTGCTGCTCCTGCTGCAGCAGCAGCTGCTGCTGCTGCTGCAGGCCAGCAGCAGCAGCAAACTGAAGTGGACACAGATGAACTTAACAGATTAGTTGCTGCTGCTATGTACCAAAGCATCAAGGAGTCCATGCCTTACATTCTGCAGGTAACAAAAATAAATAAATAAATTAAATAAATAAATAAATAAATAAATAAATAAATAAATAATTAATTAATTAATTAATTAAATTAAATAATTAATTAATTTAATTAATTAAATTAATTAATTAAAATCTAATTAGTGCATGCTTTTGCTTCAGCTTTATTCATTAATAAGCAGCTGCTGGCCTCAACCAGTTAAATAAATAAATAAATAAATAAATAAATAAATAAATAATGATAATTATTAATAAATTGATTTATTAAATAATTAAATAAACAATTTAAAAGAAATAAATAAAGTGGAATTTATTTAACTAATTGATCGAGCTGTAGTTACACCCCAAACTAATTGGAGTGTACGTACACTCCAATTTAAACTCTTTCAACTAATTTAATTTGGAAGAAATAAATTTAAAATATTTATCTTTCAAAACCCTTAAAAGTCAATCAATCAGTGACAAATTCTTAAGAAATGGCTGCTTTGCTGCTGCTGCTGCTGCTGCTGCTGCTGCTGCTGCTGCTGCTGCGCTGGGGTGTACAGACACAGTACAACTGCACGGCGGAGTCTTGCCCGTGGCTGCAGCAGCAAAGTGCTGCAGCAGAGCAGCAAAGTGCTGCAGCAGAGCAGCAAAAGGAGACAAAAAGAACAACAAAAGAAAGAAAAGGTTTAATTGCATTTGAGGAAATTCGAAAAGAAACGAGCAAACAAAGACAACGGAGAGGCTGCTGCTAGACTGCTGCTGCTGCTGCTGCTGCTGCTGCTGCAGCAGCAGCAGCAGCAGCAGCAAGTGGCACTGCAAATGCAAATCAGTAATTGCTGCTGCAGCAGCTCCATTAAGGTAAAAGTGGAATTTAAATAAATTTAATTATTTCCAAATTCCACCATTTGGCGAAGTCCATTTTTGCTGCTAAGAAGTGGTTCTTTGCTGCAGCAAAAAGGCCTTTGAAGTGTAAATAAAAGTGGATTGAATTGGCGAAAAGAATAATTTGAATTCTGGAAAAAGTCAATTGAATTCAAATGAAAAGAAAGTTCTTTTCTTTTTCTTTTTGGCCAATCTTTTCCCACTTTGCATTTAAATTGGCTTTGCGTTTTATTTAAGTGGCTTCGAGCAGCAGCAGGTGCAGCAGCAGATACAGCAGCAGCTGCAGCAGCAGGTGCAGCAGCAGATGCTGCAGCAGGTGCAGCAGCAGATGCTGCAGCAGGTGCAGCAGCATATGCAGCAGCAGATGCAGCAGCAGGTGCAGCAGCAGGTGCGGCAGCAGATGCTAGAGCAGGTGCAGCAGGTGCAGCAGCTGCTGCAGCAGGTGCAGCAACAGGTGCAGCAGCAGCTGCTGCAGCAGCAGCTGCTGCAGCAGCAGCTGCAGCAGCAAAAGAAGACCGGGCGCCGGGGAGCTGAAGTGGGGCGAGCAGTGCAGCAGCTGAGTGTTTGCCGCTGCAACTGCGAATTAAAACAAAACAAAAATAAAACTAAAAATAAAAATAAAAATATAAATATAAATAAAAATATAAATAAATAAAAATAAAAATAAAAAGACTTTTAATTGCATTTGAAGAAGCAAATGCGCCCCAGGTGTCTGCGCAGACACCCCAGCCCGCAGCTGTCTGTACACCCCAAACCGAATTTCTTCTTTTCCATTTTTAGGTTTTCTCCAGCGCGCCGAACTTGCAGTTAATTAGTTCACTTCTCTTTCATTTCACTCCATAGCTAGCTAGCTAGCTAGCTAGCTAGCTAGCTAGCTGGCTAGCTAGCTAGCTGGGTGGCTAGCTAGCTGGCTGGCTGGCTAGCTAGCTAGCTGGGTGGCTAGCTAGCTGGCTAGCTGGTTGGAATGCCTAGCTAGCTAAGTAGCTTAATAGCTAGACTGTTTAAATAGCTGGCTAGCTGGCTAGCTAGCTAGCCATCTCCAGCTGGCTAGCTACAGCCTTAGCTGTGACTCATGTAGCTCGCCAAGGAGTAGCTAGCTAGCTAGCTAGCTAGCTAGCTAGCTAGCTAGCTAGCTAGTTATTTAAATAGTCTAGTTATTTAGCTGCCTAGCTAGCTAGGTATTTCAACTAGCTAGCTAGCTAGCTAGGCACTCCTTGGCGAGCAGGAAGTGCCCAGCTAGCCACAGCTGCAGCAGCAGCTAGCCACAGCTGCAGCAGCAGCTAGCCACAGCTGCAGCAGCAGCTAG